GTTATAATCACATATAATACCAACATTTTAACTTTAAATCCAGAAGCTTTAACCCTACATAAATGGAGTGTTTTGACATTTAAGTCTGGGAGCTCTACCCCTATATAAACGGAGCATTTTGGCAACACATCAAGGAGCTCTACCTCTTTGTAACAGAGAGTTTTGTGCACATTAGGCCTCCAACTCCTAGCCCCAACGACGTAGCCATTCTCACAGCCCATAATTGCAATGATTCCACATCATTAAAACCCCACAATATACAAAAATAATCTCAGAAAGAAAATAATCAAGAGTGCACAATATATTACAAGCACCCAATGATTTCAATTAGATAATAATTATTAGCTTAATATATAAATTTACATTTGTAGTTTTTACAAAAAAATCTTGTGGCGCCCTCAACTTTTACTTTGACTTATTGAACACTTCAACTTGTAAAATTGGACTTGTTAAATACTTTATTTGACTTATTGAATACCCCAACCTGTAAAATTAGATCGATTAAACACTTTTAAAGTTTAGAGTATCACGAGGTTCTTTTGTGAAAGTTCCAAGGTTAAATTATCGTATCCAGTCAGTAAGTATTAAATTTAATCAATAAATAAAAATAAAACTATAACAATATTTTTGATAAATAATTAACGTTTAACAACATATGATTTGACTATATATTATATACTACTATTCACAATTAGTAAAATAAGTGCAGCTTTATTATTGTACAAGAGTTGCTGAATGACTCAAATGACTGAAAGTATCTATAAAAAGGAGAGGAATATTAAAATTAGTACAAGGATCAAATCAAATATTAGTATATGATAAATCAATACTTGATCTACCTGTCGAAAATTTGGAAGAGCTAGACTTTACCACTTATTTACATATGCAAAAATATGAATCAAAATACAAAGCCCATCCGTTAGATGAATCGAAATCACAACTATACATATCCAATAAGTTGTAAATAATAAAAAAACAATGAATTAAATAGCTAAAACTTAAATATAATAGTTAAATTTTCATTTTTCGAATACTAATCCACTCTATTTCTGGCTAGTTTTGAATGCTAATTAAGTAATTATCTTATAAACTAATGATCGTGCTTAGTGTTGAAACAACCATTTTAGCACCAATTTCCACAAATTTCACCTTTGAAGCCTAGTTACCTATAGCTATAATTAATTAATTCAAATTCTTTGCGACATAATTTTGCAAAACTGATTACATATCCGTAATCTACACAAAAAAATTTCCTTCTGCGTGAAAATGTTCTATTTGTTGAAACCACCATTTCTTGGTAGTAGAATCACTTTTTTCTACAGTGGTCGAAAAATTCAGATTTCAAAGTGTGCAATATTATAGTCAAAGTGCTCCAAATTCAATAGGAATCCTAATCTAAACTCAATTTTTGAAAATCATGGCTACTTTTACACTATGTTTGGGAAGGGGAGAAAGAAAATATGGGAGGAAAGAAAATAAGAGAGGAAAATAAGGAAGGATTTTACTATTCACTTTCCTTTCTTATTTTCCACTCCATGTTTGGATTGGAAGCAAAATAAAGGGAGGAAAGAAAATAGAATTACTTTCGCTTGTTTGAAAAAAAAAATTATAAAGAAAATAAAATAATATTATTATAAAATTTACATTTTTACCCATATACATGAAATATAAATATTATTTTAATAAAACTAATAAGTCTATAATTTATTTTTTGATAGAAATAAGTCTATAATTTATTAATTCTGATTTTTGTTCTATAATTTATTAATTTTAAATTACATGATTAGAATTAGATGTGTATTTCCTCACCTAAATTGACAGTGTTTGAATTTAATAACAAAGAATTGATAGTATTTTTGTCATTTCACTAGAAGCTAGTGGAAGGAAAATAATAAAGTATTCTACTGTTTACCTTTCTTTGTTATTTTCCATCCCATGTTTGGATTGGAAGGAAAACGGAAGGAGGAAGGAAAATAGATTTAGCTTTTCTAAATGCAATTTAAATATTATAAATTGAGCTTTTTAAGATATATTTTGGCTTTTTTCTGTAATTGGAAAAATTAATTATATATATATATATATATATTTGGCTTTTTTCTGTAATTTGGAAAAAATAATTATATATATATATATATTATATATATATATCAATTACATATATATATATATATATATATATATCAAATACATTTTTAGGCACATATAAAATACAAAATATATTTATATGTACTAAAAATGTATTGTTAATACTTAATACATTTTAAACATATAATTACTTTTTTATTTTGAGGAAAAACATATAATTACTTAAACAAATTTTGTGACTATACATCATATAAACAATCATTAAAAAAATTATACAATTATAATTTTTTAGTTTCACGCATAAAAGAAGTGATGGACTATGCATTTACATATGGTTTATTTGTGATCTAATTGGAGACGTTGAGATAGAGTGAGAGAGAAGTAGATGTAGAAGATGTGAGGTGAATATAAATGCTTTTCTCTTTCTTTCATGTTTAGGTGATGTATGAAGGTAGTGTGCTTGGAGCAATTTTGTAATTTCATGTAAACAATGTAATATTCCTTCATTGTACTATTAACTTTCTATCTGATTTTGAGAGATTAGAGTGTGTGGGCCTGGGTGGATTTTCCTTCCTCTAAAATTTTTTCTTCAATTCCCAAACGGGGAAAATCACTTTCCTCAGTTATTTTACCTTCTTATTTTCCTTTCAAATTCTCCATCTTCCCAAACAAAGCATTACAGTTTGTTTGGGAGAAAGGATTTTATGGGAGGAAAGAAAATGGTGGTGAAAAATAGTAAGGTAAAGATATTTTCACTTGTTTGGGAAAGCTAAGGAAAATCATAGTGGAAGGAAAATAAGCTATATTTCCCATCGGGCCCACTCAAAATGAATCTCTCCAAATTAGAGAGAAATAAGCTGTTTAAGGGAAAATTTCATATTCAATTTAAAATTACAATAACATCCTGAATAGTTTACTTATCTTCACCTACTCTCTTTCCCAAATTCAATTCAAAACATAGATGTGTAGATTATGTCGATCAATTGTAAGAGTCACTGCATAAATAAAACTCAAATCTCCATCCACCATCACCTATTGTCCTTTTCTTCCATATATCACTACAAACCAAATAGTATAAAAAAAATTTTCCAACCCATAAATCGAAGGTCTTACCAGAAAGGGAGAAGTTGATGTCGGCATCGCGTTCGAAAATGAGAATCAATAACCACAACTGTTGAAGAGTAGGAATTTTGATTTGCTCATTGGTTATGATTTCTAATATTACCTGAGATTTCTCTTAGAAAATATAAGAGGGTCTTAATTTACAAAAGAAAGTAAGGAAATTTGCCAATATATATATATATATATATATGAGAGATAAGAGGGACATGGTAGTGAGAAATAATAAACAGGATTTAAAGGGAATAGTGTTTTAGCTTCAACTGATAAAAAAGGGAAAAAAAATAAAAAATGACATTATTTATTTAATAATAAGTAAATGAAAAATTGGTAAATTTTCAATAACAACATTTTCCTTCCTCCTGTTTACTTTCTTCTCATCCAAACACGAGGTGGAAAATATGTAAGGAAAGAAAATGTTATAATCCTTGATTATTTTCACCCTCATTTTTCCTTCATTATTTTCCACCCTTATTTTCTTTCCTCCGTTATTTTCCTTCCTCTCTTTTCTAAACAGAGTGTTAAGCAAAATCCAAATTTCAATCAAACTAGAAAAAATATATATATATTTTTTTTAGTCTTTGAATTTTAATCTAATTAACTAAACTCGTCCTTCTATTTTGATAAATCCTATAAATAGTCCCTGAGGTTAAACTAGCTCCATCGGACAAAATAGTCCTACTAAAAGAAGCTTTTTATCATTAGTCAACTAAATAAAGTGAAGTCCAAAGTGAGAGAAAATAAGATAAAGACCAAAATAGCCTTAAAAATAAAGACCAAAATAGCATTTTAATTTAATGGCAGTCACCACAAAAAAAGCAAAATGGCAAACTTAGCAATAAATTAAACAAAATAAGAAAGTATGTAATAAAAAGAGAGGAAATAAAAAAATTAAATAAACCCAACAACAAAATTAAATTAATGAATCCAAAAAAAAAAAAAAAGAGAGGAAATAAAAAAATTAAATAAACCCAACAACAAAATTAAATTAATGAATCCAAAAAAAAAAAAAAAGTCACCTTTGAAATTACGAACTTAGAAAAACAAATTGAATAAACCAGCTACTAATACAAAATCAAAAGGAGATTCTCTCTTAGGAAAACAACCCATCAGAGAGAAAAGAATATATTATCAATGGCTCTACTATTACAAAGAGTGTATGTAGAATCCGCCTCTTTAATTGGGTCACAGTTACTTTGATCGATCCTTCACTGAGTTTGCACACTGATCGATATATCTCTTCGTTGCAATCCCAGAATCGGCTCTCAGTTCCTTAGTCTAATTAGGGTCTATACAAAATCCAAGTAAGAAACAAATTCTCACATCTCAAGTTTTATTCTGTTGGAGCCATCATCGATTATAATTGTGGTTAGGGCTATCGATTTGAATTACTGTTTTTGATTGCAGTTGTAATTGAGGCTTAGATTTGAATCGTTGTCACTGAGAGACTACATTTTTAAGATTAAAACCTTTAGATCAATGGAATTTCACTTATCAATTTTGTAGGAGATTTTAGTCTTTCTATATTTTGTTAACAGACAAAAGGACATTTTGTTGATGGAACTAAACATCAAGTACTACTTATAGGGTTTATCAAAATGGAGGGGACGAGTTAGTTAATTAGTCAAAACTTAGGGACTAACGACTACTTTCCCCTTGTTAAGTCAAACAATACGACATAATTAATCTCCATCCAGGTTGCTTCTTTTTTTTTTTTTTTTTTTTTTTTTTTTTTTTTTTTTCCTTTTTTTTTTTTTTTTTTTTCCCAGGAATAAAACGCTGCGTTTTATGAACATCGTACTCCAAATTGTGTGCGACGCCAGTCTAGTTTCAGACCAGAAAAATGGGAACGGCTTCGAACTGCAATCCTGAGAGTTTAGCCCCCTCCGAACCTCCAAACTCTTTCACTGACCTTATTAATCTTTAACTTCTCTGTGATTGAATTCAAAAGAATTCTCTCCAAAAATTAACCAGAAATGAGTGTTTTCCTGTTTCTTCTCTTTACAACTCAGTTCTTCTCTCTCCGATCGGCTACCTCGTCGCCGACAGATCACCGGTACAATGTGAGAGACAACGTCCCTCTTTTCGTGAACAAAATCGGTCCCTTGCACAATCCCAGGTACCAATTTCTCAAAATCCAATCAAAATTGTATCTTCATTGCAATTAAGCTTCTCTTATTTATTTTTGGTTTGTGGGTATTCGTTGCAGTGAGACTTATCAATATTATGATTTGCCATTCTGTCGTCCAGGTTAGACTCCTTAGGTACTTTCGGTGGCAATTTGATTACGTGTTGTTTTGTTGTTCTTTTTTTTTTTTTTTTTTTTTTTTTTTTTTTTTTTTTTTTTTTTTTTTGCCTCTCTTTATCACTTTAATTGTTGAATTAGAGTTGAAGCAACTTAGAAGTTCATAGCATTTTCTTTGTGGTTCTTGCAGATAATGTAATCTCGAAGAAAGAAACGCTTGGTGAAGTGTTAAATGGCGATCGTTTGAGTAGTTCTTTGTATGACTTGAAATTCAGAGAGGATAAAACTGGAGTTACCCTTTGTAAGAAAAAGCTTGAAAAGGATGAACTTTTGCGTTTTAGAGATGCCATTATCAATGATTTCTACTTCCAAATGTACTATGATGATCTCCCATTATGGGGCTTTATTGGGAAATTTGAAGAACAGAGTTGGATTCTTGGTGAGAAGAAGCTTAAGTACTATCTATTTAAACATGTGCACTTTGATGTTCTTTATAATGGCAATCGAGTTATTGAAGTAAGTGCCTTTAGTGATCCAAATCATGCTGTGGATATAACTGAAGATATTGATATAGATGTTGAGTTCACTTATTCGGTTCTCTGGAATGCAACCTCAGCTCCATTTGAGATCAGGATGAACAAATATTCAAGAGCTTCATTACTTCCAATACACCAGAAAATTCATTGGTTCTCATTTCTAAATTCGGTTGTCATCATTCTGCTCTTAATGGGACTGCTTACAGGGCTTTTTATGCGGCATCTCAAGAATGATTTGAGAAAGTAGTGAAATGTTGAATGCTTTGATATTTGTTAACTATAGTTTAAGCTCAGAAGCATGTTTCTTTTAGTTATGGTTTTATGTTTGTGCCTATCACAGGTGTTCAAGTGGAGATGAAGAAGAAGATAAAGAGGTTGGATGGAAATACATTCATGGTGATGTTTTCAGATATCCCCAAAACATGCCCTTGTTATGTGCTATCTTGGGCACAGGTACTCAACTGCTGACAATGTAAGTGGACATAAGAACTTCAGTGCTCAACTTTTTATCCTAATCTGTATTTTCTACAACAATAGTCTGGTCCTTCTTTATTTGTTTTGATTAATATTTTGTGGAGTTGTATATTACTTATAATTCATTAGCTGTCCTTTGGATTGGATCTGCTTAAAATCCGTATTCTGAAGGAAAGCCCCATCAATTTTTGCTCTAGTTATATGTCTGCTTCTATCAGTGCTGCTGCATTGAAGAAGCAACATCGAATGTGTTGCTGGATAGAGATACTGTGGCCAACTTTATTAAAATGGATCTAAAACGATACAATTTGACTTCATTCCAAAAGTTTATGTATAATGTTTTCTTATGTCATTTTTCAAGCTCCAATGCAATGTGTTTTAAGGTATCCAAAAATAGTATAATATTGCACATGGAAGGTCACTGACTAAGCTATAAAATGTTTAAATGAAATCAGAATGGTGGTAAGTCTACAATTTATGTTGCTATGCATCTGAAGATATTGTGCTTGTACATGGTAGCATTAATCAATATGACCATTACAAATTTCAGATTTCTGATATTTCTTCCACTAACTATAATTTTCTTCAGGGTTTGCTTTTTATTTGCTTTGGCATCTGTTGGCATACTCTACCCTTACAACCGTGGAGCTTTATGCACTTCTTTTGTCTTGCTTTATACTCTTACATCTGTGGTTGGGGGGTATAATGCTGCTTCTTTCCACAATAAGTTTGCTGAAACTGGATGGGTGAGAAATTTTCTTTTATAATGGGTTCTACCTTTTCTTTTGTTTGTATTATTTTCTCCTTTTCCCATATATACTGGCTTGAACAATGATTTACATTTCAGAAACGGAGTGTTATTCTGACCGGGATTTTATATCTGGGTCCATTGTTTGTGATCCTGTCCATTTTGAATATCATTGCCGTATCCTATGGGGCCACAGCTGCACTTCCATTTGGAACCATTATGGTGATTCTTCTCATACTCATAGTTTTAGCTGTTCCATTGCTTGCCTTTGGAGGGGTGATTGGGTACTGTTTCAGGTCTGAGTTTCAAGCACCTTCTGCTACGAAAAGGTACCCAAGGGAGATTCCATCATTGGGATGGTACAGGAAAATACCTTCCCAGATGTTTCTCGCTGGCCTTTTATCTTGTAGTGCAGTTGTCCTCGAGTTACACCATCTATATGCAAGCTTGTGGGGCTATAAGATATGCACTCTTCCCAGCATATTGTTTGTTACATTCATCATCCTTATGTTACTTACTGCAATTTTGAGCATTGGGATGACATACATTCAGCTATCTGCAGAAGACCATCAATGGTGGTGGAGGTATGTTATATGTCAAGCGATTCAGTTTAAAAAAGAAAGGAAGCACGGTGGCCTCGATTATATATTTTCGGTTTCCAGTGCATTTTTTTGGCTTCGTTTTTAACATTTGTATGTATTTAGCATTTTTCTGTGTGATGCAGGTCTGTGTTGTGCGGGGGCTCACCGGCCATTTTCATGTTCGGTTATTGCGTTTTCTTCTTTGCCAGATCAAATATGAATGGCTTCATGCAACTATCTTTCTTCATCGGGTATAATGCATGTATGTGCTATGCATTTTTCTTGATACTTGGCACGGTCAGTTTTCGTGCTTCCTTCATGTTTGTTTCCCAGATTTACCACGCAGTAAAGAATGAATAGACATGCTTTTTCTTTTTTACATTTGTAATGGACCATCCTTCTTCTTTCCTTGCTTAAGAAGGTAGGGAGGCTAGAAAGAAAGACAGAGAGGAGGGAAATTTAGTCATTGCTGTTGTAACATCTATAAATTAATATGATTGACAAATTTCACAATTTTTTTTTTTATTTAGTCCCCTTTAACCATTGAATTTTTTTTTTTTTTTTTTGGGACCTCTAAGTTAGAATCTACTCTGCCCCTGCTTGCTTGCTATGGTTACGAATTGTTACCACTAGTTCTTGAGAAATTATGGGAACATTAATTATATTAGCGTTTGGTTGTTATGAAACTCAGAAAGAAATATCCCATTTTGTTTCATGTATGTCCACATCTTCTTCTTCTTCTTCTTCTTCTTCTTCTTCTTCTTCTTCTTCCTCTCCCACAAATCAATTTGTATGTCCCTTTTTACCTTTTGCATTCAAATCCACAAACTAACCTTTTATGTTTTGGTTGCAGACTCTTATGTTAATACACTTAACCTCTCTAACTACTTTAGAACCCCATCCTTTTGCCTTTTAGAAAATTTTCTCTAAGAGGAGAATTGTAATTGTTTAAACCGCTAATTATTTTTTCTATTTTCCATGTGAAATCATTAATTTAATAATCAAATTCTGAAATAAAAATTTTATTAATCACAAAATACTACATAATAGAAAAAACTTCTTTCGATCTTTTTCTTTTCTCATAAATATCTTCAAGATGATAATATTCAAATCTAGAAATTTTCTTTTAAAAGTTATATTTTTTTCATGTAATTTATGAAAAATTGTGTGTTTTTCATATATCAAATTTAAATTTTTATATAATTTTGTTTTGAAATTCATTACAATTACTCTTTTTGAATGTAATTCATGTACTAAATATGTGAAAATAAGAATTTTTTTAAAAATTATTCTTACTTTTTCTTTTTGTTTTTTCAGATTGTATATTCAGAAATATCATCATTTTAATAAAAGATTATTTTTGATTTTTAATTTATTTATAAGTCCATAAATTCAGTATACACAATTCAATCCCTATGAATATTACTTTTGAAAAAAAAAAGAAAATGTGGGCTCTACTATGTAGTAGCTCAAGTTTTTGTAAGGCTACAATAAAAACAATTAACAAGAATAGACCAGTCGAAGGCAAAAGAATAGAAAGACCCAACTGATTTAAAATCTAAATTTCCACATGAGAAATAAACCACACAAACTTGACTCCAACAACAAGCATGAGACGTAGGGTTGTCACTTACCATACAACATAAACTCTTGCGACGTGTAATATTACTCCCCCATTCATTTTCTTCTTTTCTTTTCCAAAAACTGGACACAAAAAAAACCTCTTATGTATTAATATTCTTTCACTAACCCTTTTCCTTAGCAATCTCCATTATTATTGTGTGTAGCCACAACATGGAGAACACCCATTTCTCATCCAAGAATCAAGAATCCACCAAACCCATTCACCTGATTCTTGCTTCTCCGGCCAAAACAAACACGGGTTCTTTTTCTTGGCTGGAATATAATTCACTCTCCAAGTTACAGGTGTTGCCTCCTAAAAATGAACCTGATCAATATAGCTCATTTTCATCACCTAGACGGCATGTTCACCAGTCAAACGACAACGAGGCATCGCGTAAAGATTTTGTGGGACGAGAAAGGTTGAAGAGGCACAGAGAAGAGGTTGCTGGACAAGTGAGCATACCAGAAACATGGAGTCAAGAAAATTTTCTTAAAGATTGGGTTGATTATTCTTCATTTGATAATTTGTTAGCCCCTAATGGAATTGCATCAGCTCGTCAAGCATTAATGGCTGAAGGACGCAGAGCAAGCTATTAAAGACGGAGGATAGAAAATAGGTGTTGAAATTTTTTTTTTTCTTTTTTCCTTTTTCTTTTGTTTTTGTGAGATTTAGTAATAACTAATTAAACAAGAGATATATTTATCTAGCAGCGTAACACGTTTTCAGTCTTTAAAATCATGCATGCAATCTTGAATTTCAGTTTTCATGGTTGCAAATAAATAAAAGTGGAAGCACGTGAAACTTCAATATATTTATATATGTACTTTTCCTTAAATAAATAATTAGATAAAATTCTTGAAATATGGTTTAAGAAAAACTACATATTAATTCACAGAGTTTATAGGAATATGTTCATGGAAATAAAAATATACAGTAGAGGGATTAGATCCATAAATTATTAAAACAAACATATTGATAAATTAATTAATAGTTTCTTTGCTCATAGCTATATATGTTAATGTGAAACAATTAAATAATATTCCTTTCATCTAATAATGAATTACAGTTCAATTTGATTTTAGTATGAATATTCAGAAAAGTATTTTGAATGAAATAATTTTGTCATATTATTTTTTTTTTCTTTATGGTCGTTCAAATATATGATTATTCAATATTCCTAAAATTATTTTCCTAGAAATCCACTTCTCTAGTATTTCAGATGACAATAAAAGTTTGATCCAGTAATTAGGTGCACTAAATTATACATTTAGTCACAAGATTGAGTTGTAAAATAATCATTTTTTACAGTTTTTTGAACCTAATCACTCTCGAGACCGAAAGAGATTCAATCTTCCATCCAATTATTAAATGGGGAGTGAGTTAATATCCTTAATAACTACACTAAAAAAAATTCCAAAGGAAACATGAATTTCCGTGACCTAACCCGTCTTCAGTAGACAGTGACTTAGAAGTCAATGAGTTATTTGAAGGATATTATCAACAAAATAACATTTTTAATTTGTTTATTTTTAATGAAAATAGTAAAGTAAACTATTAACATTTTTAATATTATTTTTCTTTTTTAATTTTTTAATTTTGTTAACTAAGATAATGAATATTAATATTATTAAGAAAAAAATTTCTACCGAAGACAATAGTACTTTGTAGCCAATCTTTAAAGAAAACGGTTTCAATATAGGGTTTTACAAATGAACTTTAGTTCACCATAAAAGGAAAAAGTTTCACAATATAAATTATATTTATTAGCCATTTGATGGAAAAACATAATCACCATAGTGCGCTCAAGGTCCTTTTCAGACTCGAAGGCCTATTGGCAGTCTCCTCAACCTTCTTCTCCTCTTCCTCCATCTGCCAATATAGTCAAGATTATTTATGCTAATTAATTAATCCTATAAACAATTTTATCTACTGTATATATATACTTATCATTTAGATTTTGATTTTGCTTTTCCTATGAAAAGGAAAGTGGTAATTACCGTTAATTTTTTAATTAACCACGCCATTTGAACATTCTCTTTTCTCAATTCTTCAACTTGCTCTTTCATAAATTTTCTCTTCTCCTAAAAAAATTGAAGCAGTGATATTTCATTTAAAAGTTTAATTATTTCCTAATGAATTACAAAATATATTTAATGTAATTTGGATGTATAAAAAATTAATTAAGCATTACAATCTTCTTTTGTCGAGATCTAGCAGCAGATGCTCTATTTTTAATCTTTTTCTTCTCTTTTCTCATTTGATCTTGTTCAGAGCCTTCAATAATTCTTTTTCTTCCACTAACTAAAAGCATATCGACTTGTAGCCATTCTTGTGAAATTTGCACACCGCTTCCAAATGAATTTAGCATTGCCATAATTGACAGAAGTCCAATGGGTTTCTTTACTGTGATGTTGCAATGTGATTTGGGCTTTTCTTAAAAAAGAAAATTGATAGCTCTTCTTGATGACTATGGCAATCATGTTGTTTTAGGTGAATACAAGTATATATAAATTCACATCTATGAAGTTGAAATGGGGAAATGAATGACGTTGCAAACATATTTTCCTTTTTGTTTAAAACCGAATCTTAGTGTACCTATAAAATCTGAAACTTTCTTAATTTCAAATCTATTTATAATGATATATTGATTACGAATTATGAGTTAGGATACATGTATAAGCGTAATATTTGTACTAAATAATTGTTGGGCATCAACTCTGATATCACTCGTTGGGCCCTTTCAACCAATTAAGAGAAAATTAACGCAGCGGAAAAGTAAACTTGTGAGACACAGAAATTTACGTGGTTCACTGGGCATCACTCTGATATCACATCGTTGGGGCCCTTTCAACAAATTAAGAGAAAATGTAACGCAAGCGGAAAAGTAAACTTGTGAGACACAGGAATTTATCGTGGTTCAGCTGTAACGCCCCATTTTTCTGTGTCTCCGGCACCGAATGTGGGGCATCCTTTTCCGTCGGGTCTCTCGGGATCTCGGGTTGGCGGGTGTTTACATTCAGCCTCAACTGTTTAGCACATACGTCCACAGGGACAAACCTTGATAATTCTTTCAACTATTAAAAAATAGTAGGTACACAAAGAGAGTAATACATAAATACGTGGCACACAACTGTTTACCAAAAACACCCATAAATAATTTTCTCATATTTTTCCTCTCCCGTAGTTTTAGGAAACGCCTTCCTAAAACTAGATAACTCTCTCTACATTTTTTTTTTCTTCTTTCTGTTGTGGTGCTTTGGGCTTGAGGCTTCGCTACCTCTATTATAGGAGAGGTTAGCTGGAATGAGCCGTGTATAACTCGTTCACAGCTCTCCATTGTTGTTCTACAATTGGCCCTGTAATTGTTGGATTTTTCCTTTTTCTTTTTTTTCTTTCTTTCTTCAAGAACACGTTTTTCCCTTCTTTTTTTTCTTTTCAAAAGTGTGTGGGGTTCCCATATGTCCGGAAAGGACCCACAACAATTCTCCCCTCGAGCGGACGACATGGTGGACTCTCCTTCCTGCCCGCTTTGACACATAACTCCGAACCTCTCATTTTGCCTAGTTTTAATTTTGACAGAGCAACACACTTCTGTAATCTTGACTGCCACGACACAGCTTCTCCTGCAAATGTGATTGAATATCCTGAAAATCCATTTCACTGCAGTCCAATGTTCCATTCCAGGATTTTAAAGAAACCGACTCACTACTCCAACTGAGTGAGCAATATCTGGTTGTGTAACATCCCTTCCCGGTCCACCCGTTAACCCGAATGAATGGAGCCGAGACGCTACAATCTGGTTGAACTCATGTCCTGTCATGCTGATATCATCCTGTATGCTAACTATGAATACAAAATATTCCCAATTAAACTCCAATTCCTAATTAAACTCCAAACTTTCAATATCTCCAACTAATCATCATAACACAATAACACTTTATATATATATAGTCATAACTGTATCAATCCTCAATAGCATGTAATAGAGCTAGCAATTAAGTGCATTTCATGATCTATATCAAGTCTTTTCAGGACCTAATCATACACCAAATATAAGTAAAATATTTCATCTTCCATCATTTCATAATATTATTCTTATACTCCAACTCTTATACCAAATAATTACATGCCTTCACTTATATTTACAATCAACCAAAGCTCTAACAAATGTAATAAATTATACATGCCATAGAATCTTAATACATGCCAATAAATTCTTTAATTATATACTCTCAATTACTACTCCTATTTAATCACTTCTGCTTTGATAGTAACTCTTCAAGTCTCAATTTAGTAGCAAGCCACTGATCTTCAACCACTAGTCGCGTGATAAAAATCGACGCGCTGAGTAAAAACTCAGTGTGCTCATAATTCAACAGTATATGATTACTTAACAAGTGTGATGGCAGAACTAAACTTAAAATACAAATTTTTGCATAATAGCATTTTTGAAATCAATAGATTGCAGTAAATTTCAACATCAATGTATCTTTATAGGCAGAATAAAACTTCTAATTCACACCATAAATCATTTAGTTCTAATATCTCTATCCTTTTAATCCACACATCGTTATGATAACTATCATGATCTTACCTGCTGTTCATTGTGTTTTGTATGAATGAAATCATAACACAATGTAAAGAATACATAACGTATATGTTCATTGTCGTTCTTGCTTATTCATTATGCTGTATGGACTTATGCACTTTCCAAGTTATGATTACATAACATATCTCATGACTATCTAAAAGATTCAATAAATAAACTTGTAAGCATATATAGGCAATTACATACTTTCATGAATGCTTACCTGATGTTTCTTATGCTAGTATGAATTCTTGGCAACTTTAATTAAACTCAGTGAATATAACAATGAAATAAAGAAACATATAAGCAGCATACATATGTAAGAATAAACATGTACTCACGATGTGGAATGTAAGCACACATATCATGATATATTCATTTTACCTTGATGATCTTTCTTGCTGTTTTATATATTGGTATGCTTCAATGCATGTTATATGTCAAGATATCCTTGTATGGCTCCAATAAGGTTTTTATATGTGAAACGAAGTGATAAAAAAAACTGTATGAAACTGGATGAAACTGTATGCTTGGCTGCTTATGGCCTATATAATCATATCCACTCAACGGCCGCTGTAGCCGGAGTACCAACACAAAATGTAATGGGGCGGCAGATCTGCTATTCTAAATGGTCGCGACATAGGCCTTACAGATCTGCTATTCTATGTTGCGACATAGCCTTATCTACATGGTTTCTACCTAACCTCAATGGAGCATATTAATGGTATGTCAATAGCTTGTGTCATGTTAGTTTTCACATGCTTGTGTCATAAAAATTAACTGCTTCATCATTTCATAAAATTTAGTGCTTACCTGTATGCTGATAGTCTCGCCAAGCTGGCAACTTGTGTCATGTTAGTTTCACACCATTTGCATGCTTTCATTTTGTGTTTATACATGTGTTCATGTTGTCTTTTTGCTTTAAAATGGTTGAAGACATACAAGTTGAGAAAAGGAATACAAGCGCATAGAATTCATACCTTCATACACCATTTCATATCATTTCACAATTGCATAGAATACAATTACAAGTTGTGTTTACCTCATTTCACATCATTTGCATGCTTGCATGTTGTTTTCTTGCATGTTGTTTTGATGCAATGTTTCTAATGTTGTCTTTTTTGTTTTAAAACTGATTGGAGGCAATTACAAGTTGAGCAAAGAATACAAATTGCATTGAAAATGAAGTCCAAGAGGCATTTCAGACAACACAATTCAC